CATGTATAAATTATAGGCTGTCTTACACTCTAAATAATTTTTAAGGATACCCGTAATATTTGATAAAGTTGAAACTGTAGTTCTAATAACTATATAAAGGTGTTTATAAAAAATAACTCATTAAGGGCCAGAACTATTGCATAGTAAGTTAAGCCTCTGCCTGTAGCACCAGCATTCTATATAGGTACTGGTCCAAGTCCTGGGTGCTCCACTTCTGATCTAGCTGCCTGCTTAAGGCCTAAGAAAGCATTAGAAGGTGCCAAGTGCTTGGGGCTCTGCACCCCTGCATGGGAGATAAGGAAGAAGTTCCTGGCTCCTCACTTCATATCCTCTGAGTTCCTGCTGTTGTGGCCATTTGGAGAGTAAACCAGCAGATGGAAGACCTCTCTGTGTGTCTCTTCTCTATATATATAACTTTGCCTCTCAAATAAATACATAAATCTTTTTTAAAAAAAACTCATTAAAGATTGGTTAATTCTAAATTACCTTTCCTAATGGAGATGTAATTATGAATGGAGGAGGAAGAGGTAATTTTCAACTCATAACTCTACTGGATAATTTCAAAATTCCTTTCTTGATAACAGTTATCAGTTGCAAGTAACAGAATCTTATCAATTATCAGAATGTAATTTCTGATAACAAAGATTTATTTATTTATTTGAAAGAGTGAGAGAGATAGAGCGAGTGAGCGAGTGAGCAAGCTGCTGGTTCACTGTGGGTGGCCTCAATGGCCAGGATTGAGCCAGGCTGAAGCCAGGAGCTGGGAGCTTCTTCTAGGTCTCCCAAATAGGTGGCAGCAGAGATTGAAGTACTTGAGTCACCTTGTGCTGCTTTCGCAGGCCATTAGCAAGGAGCTAGATAGGAAGTACATCTGCTGGGAGAGGAACCTGTGGCCACACGGGGTGTTACTATCACAGGCGGTAGCTTGACACACTACACAATACCAATCTCAAGAATGTGCTATTTTTTTTTGTTTGTTTTAAGAATGTGCTTTCACAGCTAACTTTCAACTCTGTCCTTTGAAGAAGACATTTAAATGAAATGTTATAATAAAATATTTGAGAACATAAATTTTATTAGAGTGTTTAAGCTGCATGGTAGTATAAGATTATACAATGAATCTTTTAATTTCTAATAAAATGAATTTTGAAACAAGCATGTTTTTACCTAAAACAAGAAAAAGAGACCAATACCAATATATTGTGTAAAAAAACTAGGGAACAGTTAAGAAGAAAAGAAAAGCAATATCATAAAGAAGTAGAAGTGAAACAACTTGAAGTGACACATAGAACACTAGAATTGGATGCGAGGACTTCAAAAAACAATTTGACCCAGGTAAGTTAATCTTTGATAAAATTTTTATGTTTCTGACTTGAATCACTGTTACATATAATGTCCTCCTCATTCAAGATATATACATAAATATATATATACACACACACGCATATACTAAACAGGTGTGTATGCACACAGACACACACACAGATGTGTAATCTTTATTTAAAGTAACCCAAAAATTATTCTGAAGATGAATTATGACATATACTGCTGGAGTTATTGCTTGTGAGTCTTGGTACATGATGGTGCTTAGTACATATTTTCTAAATAAAGCAGTGCATATTGAGTTGAATTTAATAACTCACATGAAGATTGATTTAGACATTTTATGTTAAAATGCAGGCTAAATAGCTGTGAATTGTAATAAAGTTAGGTAAATTATGAAGAAATTTATTTTAAAAACATCTGCTTTTGTTTAAGGATTTTTTTAAATTATTTGGTGAATTTAGCTATAACTTATACAATTAAATTTAAGTAGTTCATGTGAGATACGTGTCTTGATTCTTTAATAGTTTGTGTTCTTTGAACAGATTTTGTTAATAGGCATGTTTGGAGGCTTTCTTATTGTAGAATCTATTAGAAAATGTATTTAAGTAATTCTAATGCAGTTTTGAGATGCTAAATGAATGTAACAGTTTTTCCTGTGGCATTAACTGATATGTAAATGTTGCCAAAGAAATTTGCCTACAATTCAGCAATAAGATGAATGTCAACACAGTTGAAAATCACAGTGGCAATCTCTAGTAGTGTTTAGAATTGGAATTTGCCTACTGACATTAGTCATAGATTATCACTTATGATGTGAAACTGACTCGAGCGTAACATTGTTGTTTTACAACCAGACATTTCCAGTTGGTTTGGTGAGTTTTGAGAATCTAAATACTAAATTTTATTTTTAGAAAGATGAGTGCTCTGTCATTAAGTGCTAATGCTATTAGAATGAAATTTTCCAAAACATATCACCTAAAGGAGAATAAAACCTAGACATGCATGGTAGATTATGTTTGCTTTGATGATGGTGGGTTTTTTGCATACATTTTCTGTGGTAAATCCCTGAGACGTAATCAAGTCCTACTGTCTATCCTTTGTTTCTTCTGCCTATTTGAAGGTAAATTTATAATGTTACATGTAAAATAATAATGAACTGAAGAATGTTTTACCGATATTAAAAACTGGTATTTTCAACAAAATATGCAAAAAATAAAAATTTTAAAAAGTCATAATGGGGAATTTTTAGATAAGTCAGATAGATAGACATAATTTCCAGGGTTAGAGTAATGGTTTGCAATACTGGCTAAGCAGCATGCGAGGTTGGTGCATTGAAATGGAGGATAGAAATATGGCTGTGATCGGTTTATGAAGTGGATTTGAAACATAGTTGATTCCAAGATGGTAGATTAGGGAATGGCATATGTGCTAGGCTAGGAATAAATAGTAAAAATTGGAAGAAGTACACTCTCAGGAGAATTGAAGAGAAAACCACACTAGAAATCCTTCCAGAGGAAGAACAATGTCATGGACCTGTATGGAGGGTGCAGATGTGCAGCAAAAATGAACACAACACATGACTGTTGCAGTTGAGAGCCAAAGCAGGTGGCAGCTTGGAGACGGAGCTGAGGCCAGATTGCAGCAAACGCTGGTGAGAGAGAGAGAGAGAGAGCAAGAGCGAATGAGCCTGGCATGAGTCTGGACTAGATCCCTGGGTGCTAGTGGTTGATAGCATTTGCCTGCAGATCCAGTGGAAGTAGAGAGGCCATGTTTATCTTGCCCCAACTTCCCCATGACAATGCCTGCTGCCTGGTTGAGAAAGGGCAGTTGCCATTTTGGGTTTTGGCAGGAGGCACAGGTACTCACAGCAACTGGCTGAGACAGGACATCATCATCCCAGCAGTACTGGCAGCAGTGGTGGGGAGAGAGCAACATTTGCCAGTGACTTTTAAGTATGTATATGATCCAGGGATTCTAGTAGAGAGAAAAGTCCACAGACACACTGACTTTGAGCCTGGCTGGGAGGCAACCGCGCAGCTGTGTATGAATGTATTGTACCCCCAGCCTCCTAGGATCTCAATAGATACATAGAAAGCATTTGATAAAAAAAATACAACATCTTTTCATGATGAAAACCTTAAGCAAATTGGGTATAGAAAAAATTTTCCTCAAGACAGTCAAGGTAATTTATGACAAACCCACAACCAACATCTTATTGAATTGAGCAAAGTTGGAAGCATTGGCACTAAGATCTGGAACCCGACAAGGATGGCTACTCTCACCATTGCTATTCAGTATAGTCCTGGAAGTTTTAGGCAGAGCCATTAGGCAAGAAAACGGAATCAAAGGGATACAGATAGGGAAGAAGGAAATCAAACTATTCCTATTTGCAGATGACATGATTCTAATATAAAGGGGATCCCGAAAACTCCATTGAGAGACTATTGGCACTCATAAAATAGTTTGGTAAGTGGCAGGATATAAATTCAACACAAATTGATAGCCTTTGCATACAGAGACAATGTAATGGCTGAGAAAGAACTTTTAAGATCAGGCTGGTTCACAGTAGCTCCAAAAATAATTCAATTCTTTGGAATAAACGTTATCATAGATGTCAAAGATCTCTACAGTGAAAATTACAAAACACTAAAGAAATAAATGGAAGACATTAACATGTGTAAATCTTCAATATTCATGTATTGGAAGAATCAACATCATCAAGATGTCCATAATACCAAAAGAAATTTACAGACTCAATGTGACCCAATCAAAATACCCATGACATTATTTTCAGATCTAGAAAACAATGATTGTAAAATTCATATGGAAACACAAGAAACCCCTAAATAGCTACAGGAATCTTATAAACAAAAAGTGAGAGGCATCACAATACTTTATTTCAAGACATACTACAGTGCAGATATAATGAAATAGCATGGTACTGACACATGAGCAGACTTATAGACCAATGGAACAGAATAAAAACTCCAGAAACCAATCCATGCATTACACCAATTTACCTTTGACAAAGGAGCCAGAATCAATCCCTGGAACAAGAACACTTTCTTCAACAAATGGGGCAAGGGAAACTGGATCTCCAGAAGTATTAAACTAGACCCATACCTTACACCTTAAGCAAAACTCCATTGAGAATGCACCAAAGACCTAAATCTATGACCCAGTATCATCAAATTAATAGAGAACACTGGTAAATTCTGCAAGACATTGGGATAGGCAAAGACCCTTGCAAAAGACCCCAAAAAGCACAGTCAAAGCAAAAATTGACAAACAGCATTACATCAAGCTGAGAAGCTTCTGCACTGCAGAGGAAACACTCAGCAAAGTGATGTGTTATGAAGTGATCTCACCCTAATGTCGACACAGGTATAATAAAATGGTTTTGATTCCACCCATCCTTCTTCTAAATGCTCCAGAGATCCTGATATTGCCCCAATGTATTCAAGACCCTGGCTGCTGCCTTCACCACTTTCAGAGAAGACCTGTCTCCTCTGCCTTTGGTAATGTTCACCAGCTTCTCGATGCCTCGTAAGTTGGCCAGGGTCTTGGTGTTCTCCATGTTCTTGCTCGTGACCTCGTGCAGGGTGAAGCAGATGGCTGCTGTGGTTTCGTCAGACAGGATGCTCAGGCTGTTGTCACCCGGGAGGCAGTTGACCAGGACTCACATGGCATACTTCCCTGTGAGCTCCTTGTTTCAAATGTCAAGCACCATGTTCCTGAAGGCAGTTGCTACAGAAGAAACAACCCTATCGTTATCCATCTGCAGTTCTACAAGGACAGGGAGCCATTTCTCTTTTCAGATAGCTGCCCAGATGTAAGCTGCAAACTTCTAGTTGCTGGCAGACAGGTTCTAGAGAGATCCCGAAGAGCCTTGCAAGGTGACTGGGTTGGAACTTTCTGCTAGAAGAGTCAGATATGGTTTTACTACCAACAGAGACTACAGCATCTCGACCCCTTTGGGGGACTTAGACAGCCCAGGGATATGACCGACTCCATCCCACTGGTCCTCTTGTGGAGGCCTCTTCTTTTCCTCATTGCTCCAAGAGCTTGGTTCTGAGTCTGCTGGGAGTCTTTTCTGAGCAGGTCATCCAGTTCATTCAGTTCCAGCAGCTGGGCCTGCAGAGCTCCAGCTCCGGGTGCTAGGACTGGTTCCACAGTGTTCACATGCTGTTCTCCACTGTCTTGCTGTCATAAGTGGATGTGTTCACACATGTGGGATCACGTACATGCGATCACATACAACAGCGAGTTCACTAGCCCCTCGCAAGACTGCATTTGCTTTTCCTGCCTCCTCTGCGGAGCTCTGGTTCCTCAGGCAACCTGTCATGTTAGGCAGAGCAAATGAAGTCTGAAATTTAATTTTATGATCATCATGGAAGGAAGAACTATTCCATCTAGAATGTGGAATGATCATAGTATTTGTTAAGGTTAGAGGGCATCTCAGATGATTGTTATCTTCACAGCATCACACGAGGATATATTCCCAAGAACTGTAACAAACTCCCTTATATCCACATCAATAGATTTTCTCAACAGTTGCAGCAAGGCAGGTATCCTACCAACATTCTTCATTCCTATGTTATTTTCATCTGTAGACTTCCCATAAACAAGGTTTCAGAGGGCACTGCAGCATTCTTCTGAACTTCTAAAACTCTGTGGTTCCAAAGGTCAACCGAGGCTTGATTCCCCATAACCTCCACACCTCCATCTTTGCTTTGTTGTCTCGGAAGTACAGGTACTGCGAGGTAGGCTGCTGTGTTGGCCTGGACAAACAGGAACTGGGGCCAAACCAGGCAAACTCCCTAGGGTCTTTCTGAATGCTGTCTGTTGATGGGGATCTGGTGGTGCCATTGTCACCTGTTGTGTGCTGGAGCCTGTTATAATTACACTCTTGTACTTGGTACTGGATTGGCCTGTAGGGCTCCATATAGGTAGCTGTTGTGTTCAGAACATAATTATTTCTTTAGTATGTAAGGTTCTTCATTGGCTGG